TTAAAATGAAAAGTAGTCCTTAAACAGACCATATTTACAATGCATATAACCTATGAGCAGAATATATGAAGAATTCTTAGAGCTCATTAATAGACAATCCAATTAAATAGTAGACATAAAGAGATGATAAGTAGCCAGTATAGCACAAGGAATGGTGTGCAACTCTAGAATCACAAAAATACTAATCAGTATAATAACAAGAATGAATTATACATTCATTAGGGAAATGAAGTTAAAAGTTTTAAAAGCCTTGTCATGACTTTTTCTTTTTCTTTTTTTGGTACCCGGGATCGAACTAGGGTCCCTGCTCTTGTGAAGCAGGAGCCAGAACCACTGAGCTAAATCCCTGGCCCAACAAGAGAATCTTTTTTTTTTTTTGGTACTGGGGATCAAACTCCAGCCCTTGCGCTTGCACAGCAGGCAGCAAAATCACTGAGCTAAATCCCCAGCAACTTTTTTCTTTTTGTTGGATTCTCCCCCTTTGCATTTAATTTGTCGTGCCCAATGGATTCATTCTGCTAGGTTTCCTGGGGTTGTGATCCTCATTGTCTTTTCCTAGGGTATTGTCTAAAATTTTTTGGTATTCATGAAGTTCCTGAGGTGTTCTTTATCTTGAAAGTACCTTATTTCACCATCAATTTTGATAGATAGCTTTGCACGGTACATCAATCTGGGTTGGAGGCTGTTTTCTTTCAGGGCTTGAAATACAATACTCCAAGCTCTTCTTGCCTTGAAGGTTTGCATTGAGAAGTCTCCTGTGATTCTGATGGGCTTTCCTTTGTATGCAAGTTGTTTCTTTTCTCTCACTGCTTGTAGAATTTTGTTCTTCTGTTGGATTTCTGGAATCCTAGCTACTATATGCCTATGTGTAGATTTTTTTTGATCAAGGCTAGCTGGAGTCCTATATGCCTCACTCATCTGTATGTCAAGTTCTTTTCTCCTCCTTGGGAAGTTTTCTGCCATCACTTCTGTGAACAGTATTTTTATGTCATCTGCACTCTCTCCTCTTTCTTCATTGACTCCAATCAGTCTTATGTTGTTCTTCTTTGCATTGTCTAGCAGCTGCTGGATTGATTTCTTGTGTTCCCTTACACTTTTAAAGCAATTTTTCTTTTCCTGATCACTAATTCCAATCTTATCTTCCATATCTGAAATTCTATCCTCACATTGGTTCATTCTGCTGTGCAGACTTTCAGTGGAGTTTTTAATCTCCTGGAAATCTGTTTGCATCTGTTTTATGGATTTCATTTGTTTCCTATGTTGGGATTCCATCATGTTCCTCAGATCCTCTATTTTTTTATCTGTGTCCTCTCTAGATTTATTAATCATGTCTTGCATCATGAGCAAAATCTTTGCTGTTATCTGAGTAATTATTTCTGATTTCATTTTTCCAAGATCCTCTTTTGTTGCCAGTTCAGAGAGTCCAGGTGGTTGAGTATCAGATTGTTCCATCTCGTTTCCCTTTGGGGTTGCTCTAGATGATCCGGAAGTCTGTTTTTGAGGCTTGTTTATGTGCCTTCTCATTTCCATGGGGCGGGGGGTGCTTCTGGCTCCCACAAGGCTCACCTTCTCTGCCCTAGGAGCATGGGATGGCAGCAGGGGAGCTTCCTCCCTGGTGCTGGGACTGGCACAGCTTCTTTAATCTCTCTTTTTTTTTTGTACCAGGGATTGAACTCAGGACCTTGCACTTGCAAGGCAGGCACTGTGCCCCTGATCTAAATCCCCAGCCCTTGATAGCATAATCTTAACTAAAATGCTTTTCAACTTCATTTGTCTGGGCTAAGGCCCACAATTTAAAGGATGAGAGGTTCGCTTTGGCTCGTGGTTTGTAGAGGTTTCAGTCCAGTCTGTAGTCACCTGGCTCCAAGGCAATGACATGGTAAAAGGGCTTGTAAGCAGGGCTTGGCAGAGGAGAACCTACTAAATAACTTGTTAATTAATGCCACTCAATATTGGCCATAAACGAACCTTTTCATACAAAGGGAATTTTGAAAATAGATGCAGAGATATTTTTTAAGTTTTATACCCTTTAAGAATTTCATTTTAAGGACCTAACATTTATAGGCACCCAAAACGCTAATATGTAAATTATGATAATGACAGGGAAGATGGAGATTAAGATTGCATTTATGTAGATACTCTGTGGCACACCCTGAATAAACACTCTGTGCATTATTTCAATTAATTCATACAAAAAACCTATATGATAGGTAATAATAAAGCCCATTTTATACATAAAGATGTGAGAGAGGTTATGTAACTGGTCCTAAGTTCTCTAGGTAAGTGAGGGGTTATTTCAACCCCCTGGAGTCACATTAAGATGCACTAGTTAAGAACTGTGCTTTGAAGTCCAGGGCTTGAGTCTCACCTCTGACTTTTACCAGACATATATCCTTGAGTAAGTGCCTCAATATCTTTAAGTTTCATTTTCCTCCACTATGAAATAGGGTAGTTTAATACTACCAATGCATATGGTTATTGTGTAAATTAAATTTGGCAATATGTGAAACATCTTAGTACATGAATGGATGTGATAGACACTTAACTGTAATGCATCACTATGTTCTTATAAATTTACTCAAAGTTGTACTCTTTTCATTATTTAAAAAAATTTCCTTACATAAGTACAGAAATAGGAGAGCACAGAGGAGAAATTTACTTCAGTGCAGTATTGTTGAGAGAGGACTGAAAAGGTAGGAGGAGGAAGGAAGAGATGATGAGGTTCACAGAGGAGTCTGTTGGAGTAGAAGCATGACGGATAATAAAGATGGCCTTGGGTAGAAGGAGATTTTAAGTCAGCATTATAAGAAACAATTCAGTTTAATTTATTTCTAGAAACATATGCTTAATGGTTACATTGCTAAAAAAAAGATAAATGTGATTCATTCTTCATTGTAAAATCACAGACTACTGAATAAGATAGATATTTTAACCACTGTTTGCTTGAATCTGAAATGAAAAAAACTGTAAATGTGTGGTGAGGGGTTTGAGGAAGTTCTTGTTTAAGAAATAGTAGTATCAAAAACATGGACCAAGAAGAATTAGAGATGAGATAAAGTCTTTTGTCCACTGACACTGAAAAGCAAACAAAAACAAAACAAAAGAACTGACAAAGCCAAGGGAGGCCAAAAGAAGTGATCAAAACTAGAGTATGGAACCAGAAACTGGGAGTCAGGAAGACAGAAACATGTTGAAACAAGTAGACTTTAACCGGGTGGGGTAGGGAATAGGAAGAGGGAAATATTTTGCATAGCTATTTGTATTCATGCATGGAGTATATGACAGTAACAGTATAACTAATACAATGTAAATCTTTACTTCAAATTATAAATTACTAATGATTTGAACTGAGATAAATTAATTAAATTAACAAGTGATTAATCAATGAGTGTTCACATTCTCTCCCACACCTCTGCCTCCTTCTGCCCTATTTACTTCTGTCAGATGGGAGGTCTCTTGCTTTATGGGTTAGCTTCTAGGCAGAGAAAGCTGCAAAATGTGTATGACAAAGATGAAACTAAAAGAAGCTAGAGGAAATTTACACTTGATCTTAGCCAAAGGCCAGGAAGCAATAGATGGAAATTAACAGCTACAAAAAAAAAAACAACAACAACAACAAAAAAAACAAAAACGGTAATAAGGAAGGGTGAGTAGCAGGAGGAATTATATAGTGGAGATTCATATATCTGGAGTGAGAATAGAGGGAAGATAGTGAGAACCTAAAGGAAAAGGCTGGAGGGGAGGTGAAGGTCCTGGGGCAGGACTGGTGTTGAAGGAGTGGAACATAGTTGCAAAGGGACTTAGAGGTGGTATTATGTTACTACTTGGAACCCTCATATTTTCTTCCAAGGGATGAAGGTAAAGGTGGGAATTGCTTTTTGATTATTTCTAGTTTGTTGGGCTGCCCAAAATCCAGAGTGTGCTATACATTTTTGTTGGTGTAGAACTTACCTAAAAAACTTACCTAAACTACCTTTAGGTAAGTTCTTAGGTAACAGTAGAACTTAGGCCTTATCTACAAGAACTTAGGGGACTAGGTATCAAAGAAAGATCTAGAGACAAAAACATTTAGACAAGAAAAGAAAACGCTAACTTCAAACTTCAGAAGGAAAAATAGGTGCAAAATTACCCAAGTTTCCAAATTTGAAGTAACCCTTTCATGGTGGAAACACAATTTTCACACACCATTGTCAAATTTAGAAGGGTCATGATAAAGCCTCATATGTCAATAAAGCAAAAATCAAAAATATAATTTTTTTCTATTAGGGAGTTCGGATTTATTCAAGGCTTTATTATTTTAGGAAATATAACCAGGTCTGATAAACCTGTCATTAATTATATCAAGATTTAATTTTCTCCCTGCATATAAAGAACTTAATCATATTAGAATCAAAGTGTCAGTTTTCACTTCTAGTCTAGCCAAGTTTCATAGTGCATTATAAGTTATATGTAATAAGCAGAAATGAACTGGAGTGAGCCAATGCTATAATAAACTTGAAAACAAGACTATGAGAAGGATTTCCTGATGCAAACAGCAACACAAAACATAAAAAAAGATACTTGCCATTCAAATGTACAGAAAGAATTTTAGGTAAGCTTCATTTTTCATTAATTTCACTCCTTGAAAGCCAAGATAAGATGCATCAAATTGCTCCTCAGAGAAAAAAGAATTGTTGCTTGAGCATAAACTATAAGATTTTGTGAACATTTTCTTCAAAATGCTCCGTGTGAGTTCATTGTCCTCAGAATGATGAAGCTTCAAACCATGTGCATATTGCTAAGGTTGCTTTCCACAAATGGTGCAAGAATGCGTGCACAGCCGGGTTGCTATGGAAGCTGCATAATGTGCTGCCGTGACAAAGGCAGGAAATGGAGTTTGCATGTTGAGCGATCTTCCTGTCTTTTGTCGTAATTAGAAAAGCATGATGTTAGGGAGGAGCGTTGGGTCAGCAGTTCTGTATTGATGTGGGAATGACTAGATGTTCTGCTCTTCCTTCTTGGAGCAGGAGTGGAGGCCAAGCCAAGGGAAGGGCGTGGAATGCCTGACGCAAACCCCTGCAGCACAGATCTGATGGTTAAGGAAGTGTGGTCATTTATTGCTGAACATACTGCACCACTTGATGATCCCAATATAGTATTGGTGTGCTTTAGCAATGAAGGACCAAATGGGGCAAGCCCTGCTTGGGCTGGCATTTTGGGCCTGATGAGGGCCCAGGTTCTGCCATACTCCCATTACCAGGAAATCCTGTAATGCTTTAAGTCAAGAAAATGGATTCCATCATACAGTCATCCATTCAGCTAAAACTTACGAAACACTTACTGTGTGGTTACTCAGCTAAGTGCTGGGAAACAGCAGTATATAGTCTCTTAATATGGAATTTTCTTGCTGTAATCCCTCTCTACTTAAAGTCCCTTAGAAACTGAGAATTACTTTGGAGGACCCCACCTGTTTTAAGTTGAGTTCTCTCACAAGCAGGTCCTAACCCTAAGGTACATGTACAGTAATTTTCTAAGGACGTTTCCCCAGGAGAAGCTAGGAATGGAATAAGGGAATGAGGTGGCTGAATAGGATCTAGAGTAGAGAAGGAGAAATGGCCAAAAAGTGTTTGATTTCAGGTGATTTCCTAGGCTTAGGCCAATCCCTCCAATAAATGTAGAGGGTAACATTCTTCAGACTTTGTGCCATATCAGAACAATGGAACTGGGTTTTTGTATCCTTGTACCATCAGCTATTGTCTGTGGGCTTACCATGAGAGCTGTGATATTCCCAGGGAAATTTAGCCTTCATTACTGGAGACATGGCTGAAATATCCAATGGAAATAGGTTCAAGCCATTAGCTGCAAAATAAAAGTTAAGGAATGAGCCTGTGGGCAAGTCACTCATAGCATCTACTACACTCCCCTAATGTGGGAGATTATAACAAGGTTAAAAGAAGAATGAAGTACCCAGAGTCTTGCAACTCAACGTGTGGTCCTCAGATTAGCAGCATGCAGTTGAACAGTGATCCATCACCTGGGAACTTGTTAGAAATGCAGAATCTCATATCCCACCAAAGACCTAATTATTCAGAATCTGTATATTAAGAAAACCTTCTGGAGATTTCTAAGCACCATAGTTTTTAAGAAGATTGATTATAGGATGTTAGAAAAAAATTGGGGGACTTCCTGAATTAACAGAAAGAATAAATGTCCAAGTAAGAGCTGTAGCATGCTGAACTTGGAAAGATTCAGTGTGAAGTTTGTCTAGCTTAGCAGGTGAAATCAAGAGAAAGACGGCACATCTCCAGCTGGAAGGAGGGTAGCGCTTACTTTCCTCCACAGTATAATCATCCAGGTTTGTAGGTCCCAGGTTGTCAGACTCCATGTTCTCCATTTGTTCACCTAGAGCTGGTAACTTTGGAGTGGAAAGGGTAGAGGTGGGGTTTTGTGGAGAGAGTTTGGAGGATAATATTTGGTGTGGGTACAGGAGAGGCAAATCAAATGGGAATGGAATCAAGAGACAGAGGGAGGGGAGGGAAAATGGATTAAAGGAAAAGGAATTAGGATGTGTTATATACGTATACCAAGTCCCCACACGGAGCATAAACATGATGTACTGCAGTCATGTACTAATAAAAAATACTCAAAAAATAAAAGAAGCCCAGATTTAGAGCTGGCAGTACAATTTAAACTTGAGAATCATTTTGAAAGTCACAGGTAAAACACTTGACTCGGATATGCTTCGTCTATGGAGTCATGAAATAACTCATACATAAGAGAAACTTCTGGGAAAAAATATGTTGTTGACCAAAAGGCCCCCAAGAGAACAAAAATGTCTCTTCCACAATATTGAAAATTCCCATCGTTAGTCACAATGTTGCAACAACTAGCAGGAATATCATTGTCTTGGGAAGCCTGCTATGGTGAATTTTGGGAAACGTGATTAAATATGACAGATTAAACACACTAATTAAAGCTCAGGTCCCTCTTAAAAATCACATAAGAAAATAGTAAGATTTTCTTATTGTTGTTACTGTTGTCCTAAAACACTAACAAGAAAAGAAAAAGGGAGTTAAAGAGAATGTAAAAATAACTTTTTGGATGCTGAAAAGGAGATTCATTATGATGAATGGTCATTGACTTAGCAGAGCCACGAAAATTGAATCCTAGAAATTGAGCTATAGAAAAAATTGAAAATCAATTTAACTTACCTATAGAATGTCCCTAAAAGCCAAAAGATTAGGACAACTTACCTTAGGAATGTACTATTGAGAAGAAACCAAATATAAAGATTAGTAGTTTGTTGTGGAAGCAGTTGGACTCTCAGGGATACCACATACCACAGATAGCATACTGTCCTTTCCCGACAGAGAAGGAAAACCACTTAAGGCTGATTCTTCGGAAAGGATAATGAAGATGGTAAGTGTTTGGATTATAGTATTTCAAACACATAAGATCAGGCATGCCACGATGAAAGGGGAGGAGCAAGTGGCAGTTTAAATTCTGAAGTGTATATGTCTTCCAAGAACCCAGAAATTTAGCAGCCATTATCTACTAGAGAGAAGATTGGAACAGTCTTTTTAAGGAATTAAAAAATAAGTATATTGTGAATCTAAGTCAAACACTTTTTAACTCCTTGTCCCAGTTTCCTTTTGTGGTGGTTAGAATGGAGTGTCACATGACTGTCATTACCCTCACCAATAGTAAACCAAGGAATATCAGGCATCTCCAGGTCATTTACAGTGGACCATCTTTTGATCTGTATTTTAGGCAATTAACTAAGTAAACCACTGGCATCCTTTTTAACTCTACAAACTGCAGCATTAAATCCAGAATCTCTGTTTAATTGGCTCATATCAAGAAATTCAGCCTAATCCAGGTTGATGTTCCTTTTACTATTGTCTCACACCCTTAAAATCCATTTCTATTCCTGTTCCCCAAACCTTTGGTTGTTAAGAACTGGAAAGCTCAAGAAGTTAGTCAGGAATGTAGCATACCTTCCCATGTCCCATGGGTCATGCTGGGTAGCGTACTTTGAGAAGCCTCCTGAGATTTGAGCCTGCAAAATAAAATCTCAGACAAATAAGAGACAAATGATGGCAAGAGTGGGTCCTGAGGAGCATTGGCATTGTCTTCCTTGGCAGCTGCATCAGAGAAGGATTCATACTGTTTCCACAGGCAACACAGGATTAGCTCCTTCAGGAAGAGAAGAGGCCAGCACCACAGAAGCTGGGGGTGGGGACACCTCTGTCACCGAGGGTCAGGAAATCTTTTTCTCTGGCAATATAATCTCATCCAAATTAGGAGCCCAAGGTACCCAGCCTCATCAGGTTTTTCACAGACATCTCCATGCCAGTTTATGGGATCCCATTCTTTTCTGATCAGTGCCTTCATGTTAACTGCAGATATAATTTGAAGGTGGGTGTTAAAATTTCACTGCAATTTAGCCATAATTTAGCATTATGAGGGCTTGTCTTTGCTCTACAGCACTTCCAATCCTTTGCCTAAAGGAAAGAAGATTCTCCACCAGAACACACTTAGAATCCTTGATGTTGCTTATACTTGTCTGGAGCTAGAAATGTGAAATCATCATTTTCCTTTTTTAATTTTTTTAAGGATACTAACAGCAACGATCCAGCATCATATGCCTCATGCTTCCAAAATTTTCAAAAGTGTTATGTATAAAGTCACTAAATCTCTTACATCTTGCAAGTTGTGAATTAAAATAATCAAATGGATCTATGTTGCATATTACTTTAAATAGTTCACATCATGGACTATCAGCACTTTCTACATTAGTTGAGAGACTAACAACTTTAGGTGTCATCAAATTACAGAGCCAATTCCAGGAACAACTGAAATGATTGGAGAAATTTATCCTTACAATTATATTTTTCTAGAACCAATCCTGGTACCAAAATCTGTTTTAGTATTCTGTATGGGAGAAAATTCAAAAGAAAATTTATGTATAGTTAGTTACACAAGAGTATTTACTAGGTGGATTTATGGGAACAAAGGCAGGAGAGTCCACAATGACTGTCTGTGGCACTGCCTGTGCCACAGGACAAACCAGTGGTCATGTGAACTGCAGTGAGCTGGAGAACCCAGTAGCTGTTCAGTCCAAGAAGACGGAGGCCACAGCACAAGAGGGATCAAGGATGCAGCACTGATCCTAGGTCAAAACTCTAGAAGCTCACTGGAAAGGCACAGGTGTGACACTGTGTTGGAAGGCTGAAGAACTGGAGACCTGGTGACTGGTGTCCACAGGCAAAGACAGCACCAGCTCAAAATGGGCACAATTCTTTCTCGTTTTTTCTTTTTTTTCTTTTTATTCCATCCAGGCTGCAAGCCTATTATTTGATGCCCCTTGGCATGGATATTCCCCCCTCAGTTTGCTGACCTACATATCAGTCATCCACAGACACACCCACAATTGTGCTTTACTAATCTTCTAGGTGTTTCTTACTCCGGCCAAGTTGATATATCACAGTTAGTAGTTATACCTCTTCTCCTTTGACTTGTGGGGGCCAGGTGTTGTGTCTCAGAATGAGAAAGATGATTAATAACCTTCCAAGAAGAACTTCCAGCTAGCTTTCTGATCTCCTTTCTCAACTGTTTCTACAGACATTGAAGGTGCACATATGAAAGGAGAGAATGAAACCAAAATATTTTTCATGTTTGAGATATTCCTCCCAGTAGCTGCACAAAGAGGCTGAAAAATATAACTTAGAAACAAGCATGGAAAAGTTAATTTTCCACAGAACAAACTTGGACCAGTGACAGATAGGAGACCAGAACAAGCCTAGGGATAAATTATCTTTTTCTTTTTAAAGGACTGTGCCAAAGTTCTGTGTCCATATTGTTTTTATGTGATGTCCTGTGTGAATGGGCATTCACACATTCAAATAAGTGTGCCACTAAAGAAGAAATTCAAACTGACAATATATTTAAAGGAAAGATATTTACATTCTTTAGCAATCAGGGAAATGCAAATTATGACATATCATTTTATATATACTAGATTGTTAAATATTATCAACTACTGGAAAGGTGTGCATTGAGGATGTCTTTGTATGTTGTTGGTTGGTTTATATATTTGGGAAACTACATTAGAAAACAAAAATTAGAAACAACCCAAGTATATATTGACAAGACTATGGATAAATAAATTGTGACATAGTAGCATATTCAATGGAGTAGCAGCAAAAACATGGAACTATACCCATAAGAATTAATTTGGCTGAATTTTAGAAACATAATGTAATATAGATTATTCAAGATCCAGAACATTGTTTAATTGTAACTCTTAAAATAAACAATTTGCCATTGTTTTCTATATTCCTTGGATAAAGTTCTGCATTTCCTGTGCATATGTCCAGATTTTCCCTGGAGCAGAAGTTAGCAAACTATGGCATATTGAATGCCACCTGTTTTTGTAAGTAATGTAATGAAACTAGCCACATCTGCTTGTTGATATCTGCTTCTCTACCATAGGGCAGAGTTGAATTGTGAGGACAGAGAATTTGTGACTTGCAAAGGCTAAAGTATTGATTATTTGGCCCTTAACCAAACAAGTTCAACTTTTATCTTAGATATGTATAAGATAATGCCAGACATTTATAAAGTTCACATACAGATAAAACTAAACAGCAAATTATTTAGGCAGACTTTCATGTGATAAAGATATAAAGGTAAATCTAGGGAATGAAGAATATTTATATTTATATTTATATTTACATTCAGCGTTACATTTGCCACATGGAAGGGTGGGAAGGCAGAAGATAGAATGAGGAAGAATCCACAGCAAGCAGAAATTAATGGTAACATTCTCTTTCACACATCAAACAGTATAATAGAAATATAAGAAAACAATGAATGAAAAGGACAAAAGGAAGTAATTCAAGAAAGTTTCTCAAAACTTAATGACAGCTTCCAGGAAAAGAGCCTACTGAGAGTCAGTAAAATAGATAAAAGTACAACTACTGTAAGGCATGTCTTGGTGAAATTTCAGGACACTGGAAACAGAAATTCCACAAGCTTTCAAAAACTAAAAGTAAGCCAAGTATCAAAGACCAGAAATTGGAATAATACTGACTTTGTAACAGCAAGACTAGAGCCCAGAATATAATGGAAAAGACTTTCAATTCTGGATGGAATTATTTTTAAATTTAGAATTCATGCTCACCAAGCTATCAACTTAGGCAAATGAAGAGGAAAGGCATTTTCAGATATTTAAGTCTTCAAATACTTATTCACACATCTATTTTTCTCAAGTATCTGCTGAAGAACATGATCTCCCCAAATGACCCAATAAATCAGGAAGAGGATGGTTAGAGATGAGGGAAGCCAGGAAAAGGGGATACAAAGAGAGTGGTAAAAAAATTCCTCAGAGTTCTAAGGTCACACAAGAGGTCAAACCTTTGGAGACGTAGACATCAAACCATTCAGTTTGGAGCAGATCAAAGGCTCTGGAGCAGATCAGAGGCTCTGAGTTGAATGATTATTTGAAGAAAATGAAACTGATTTTAACTTCTCAAGAGTTTGAGTGTATTAAAGTAAGATTTATCCAGGTAGGAGAGGGTTATGGCTGAGTATATACAAATAAAGCAAATAGAAAAAAGAAAACAAGACAATAATGGCAGGAAAACAAAATCTGCAGTAAGTATAATCATACAATATGGTTCAGCTGTGAAGTCCATGCACACAGTTTTAATAATGTAAACAGCAAATATTGATCTAACCATAATTTTGGTAGTATTATGTTCGAAATACGGCAGAGTGAGAAATATTTGTATATGTAATAGGAAGAGCCAATGCATAAAACCATTTAACCAGCAGCAAGATAAGCTGTTTTTAGAGATAAGGAGACAACTATCAAATTAGCTAAATGGATTTTTTAAATGACTGGCTTTTAGTAGTAGGAAATATGAGAGAAAAAATTATTGTATGGCTTTACTAAAACTTTAAAAATAAATTATAAAAATAACACTAAAGACAACATCTAATGTCCTTCAAATATGATCTCCTGCAATCCAACCATCAAGCCCAGTGAACAAAATATATAATACTTAGAATTATATATAATATATAATATATAATTATAATAAATATATAATACTTAGAATATATAATACTTAGAATTGACGATTCCCTTAAAATAAATTATATAAAGCAGTTTGTACCAATGAGGATGAAATAGCATCCTGTTCAATATATTACATAATCATTGAATATAGATGAACTTTGTTGGTGCAGAAATAAATATTATGTGTCAATTAGGGGGAAAAAAGACCCTGACATTCTGACACAGGGTTGATACCCTGAGGCTGTATTATTCTCCTGTTAGACATAAACCATACCAAAGAACACAGATGAAAACAGGTCATCATCTTTTCCATAAAATTCCAAACATCTGCTAGCTCAAAAACGGTTGCTACTTCTTCATTTACAACTTTATCTTTATTCAATTCTCCTTTTCCTGTAGATATAATTTACTAAAATATTGGTCAAAAATTATCCTGGCTTTCTGTCAGTCCCCAGAGAGAGCAAACCATAGTCATAAGAAGGAGCAGGATGTTGCAGAGTGCCTTGCCTGAGGCAGAAAAGCCAGGAGGAAAATCCAACTTAGCACATGCATTGAGGACTTACCACTTGTTAATTCCACTAGGCACTGAGGAAGTCAAGAGTATGATTGCTTCTGTCGTTGAGGTTCTAACAGCTACTTGATCACATAAAGAAAAGAAAAAAATACATTTCAAAATTAGAAAAAGCATGAAAGCTATTGTCAGTGAAAAGAACATTGGGCTAAAGCATTTGGGTTTAATTTAATCCATCACCATTCATTACTAATGGGGCAAATCCTTTGATGATTTTCTCAGTTATAAAATAATCATTCATCTTACTTAATTATTAAATAAGATAACATACTTGGAAGTGTTTTGTAAATTATAAGGGACCATATACGTTATATGGGACCATTACATAAAAAATAGGAAGTTCAAAGAATAGACCTGCATAAGACTGTACACCTATTATTAAATTTCAGAGTAGCACTCACATGAAGATAATTGCCTACAGTGCTTTTATAATAATAGCAAATAATGTCAAATACTGTGGACCCCTGCAGAGAGGATCCTGATGTCCCGCTTGGTGCTACGACACAGGGCAAGAAGAAAGACTCAGAGACAGAATCAAAGTGAAATGGGAAACTGTGATAGTCAGTGCTGAGCAAGCAAAGACCCCAAAACAACCAGAACTCCCAATGTTTATTGGTAAGAGAGTTAATGTGGTTCCTAGAGATAAGTTGTTGATGTGAGCAAGGCTTCTAGAAGAAGCGACAAAGCATTTTTGCATTAGTATCAGAACAGACCAGATATAGGTTGTGGTTAGTGATTAACCTGTCTTTACAGTGAAGAAGGTTTCATTTGAGTAACAGTCACTCTGATCTCGGCTGTGTGTCATATCAGAACCCTACAGTTTCACGGGCCACTTCTCTGGCCTCTGTTGTGGCCATTGATGGGGGGATAGTTGTTTTAATCCATGTGCCACCACAATACCCCTGAGTCACATAGGCCTTGGTCAGACTCACTTTTGAAAACAAGCCAATAGTGGGATTAACTCTTTACAGCTTGCACTTTTTACAGCCTGGTTTTGGCATAATCCACAGGGCAGTCTCCGGGAGTCAAATGGTTATTACGATTAGATATTCTGCCTAATACTTCACTTACACCATTTCATTTATAACAACAATGCTCTTAGGTTTACACATAGTGTATAACTCTTTCGAAATTTGTCCCATTTCATAGTTTTATTCAGAAATGCCAAAACTCAAATGCAGAGTTATTTTTTAAGCAACTGTAGCAGAAATTCTGAGAAACCAGTTATCTTTCCATATCAATATGATTTCAAGAAAGAAGATCTTACTTCAAGATTATGACACCATATTAGAAAATCATACAATGTAATTTCAACATGAGTCACAAATGCAAGAGAAGGGATCGTGACTCTTTGTTACAAAATGTGATGACAAAAGGATCTTTACTAATGCTGAAGTTTTCTTTTTTTTTAAATCAGCTTTATGCACTCATATCATGGCAAACAAGTCTGTTGTGAAACATCTAAGCATTCATATCTTGCAGAAATAGTCACAAAGATAGAAGATATACAACCTTGAACACTGGGAAAAGTTTTCAAGACTCTTTGTTGAGTAAATACTATGGATTTATTTCCCATTTCTCTATGTACTAGGGGTTCACATTTGATGAGATATGACATTAATACAATGTATATAGCCAGTAGTTCTGGTGAGTCAAAGAGCCATTGAATCTGAAGAAGTTGTTACTATAGAAAAGTTAAGTATGCTACTCAGTACCATGCCTTCTCTGTGCGTGAAAAGAGAAAGTGGCATTTTCACACTAAGGCAATAAATATGTTAGAGTGAATATTGTTATCAGCAAGAAATAAAATAGTATTGGAAGGGTAATTGCAAGCTATTCATTCCTTTGACTCAAACTTCAGATAAACATAACTTCTAAACACTTAGATTAAGCATCTAGAACCAAACGACAAGAAAAAAAAGGACCACAAGTTCTAACCTGATGGGAATCTGTGGTGTTCTGTTCTTTGCATGATCCCATTAGCCTTGTCAATGCATTGTCAAACATATATCATTTGCATAATTCTTTCTCTGAGGCTAAGTCTCCTGCAAATCCTATATAATCTTACCTGGAATCTGATGTTCAGCAGCATCTTGAAAAATGTTTTCCCATTAAAAGTTTTATTTACTTCTGTTTGGAGCCAAGTGTTCAATACAAAACTTAGAAAATCAAGGCAAATAGAAGAATCTCTCTCCCTTGTGACTTCTCCTCTTGTAACCTTTAACTTTCACCATCTCTTGGCTTTCTTTCCCAGTACTTGATACTTGCTCACTGCTTAGACCTCTCTCAGATTCCCAGCTCCCATGGAGCCCTCACTCAAGGTCTGGATAGAGGAGACACTTCCCCGGCTGCTGTGTGAGGCCCTCTGTGACTACTGCAGTCAGCCACCATTAAGATTCTGTTCCTCTGCTGAGGGACTGCTTCCCAGCACCTGCCCCTAATGTTGCCCTGGCTCTGGGGTCAGGGTCTCAGTACTCTCCTCAATGCCACATCATTAGGTTTACTCTTCCACACACCCTGTCCTGGAAGATATTTTTCTATTGTTACAGCAAAGGTGAAAAGCAGGAAGGCAATGCATTGAGACTATTTCAGTAGTGCTAAGGAGGATCAAAACTGAGATACAAAAGTTTGTTTTCCGTTTAGTTCAAAAAATATTTAGTGGGCATGCCCAGTGAGCACATGATATCCTATTTGTATAAAACATGAAATACATAGCTTCTGTCTTTAAAGGCCTTACAGAAGAAATAAACAGGTAAAAGCAAAATTTGGATACAACTTCTGAAGTAAAACGAAGTAATAGTAATTAATGTAATCATTATTAGGCAGTCACTGATAGGTACAAGTAACAGTAGTCATCAATGCTAATAATTTCTGAGGACCTACTATGTGCCAGACATTATGCTAAAGGCTTTTTCTAGAGTATTTAACTTATTGTGATTGGAGTGAGGCCAGTTCACATATGTCCATGGAATCATATGAACTCATGGCTTTATCCTGTGTTTAATGGAGATATATTGAGAGATTTCAAGAAATCACGCAGGCATTAGATTTATACTGTTAATAGATCAAATTTATGAATTAAGGGACAAGACTTTAGAGACATGGAGTCTAGGTCAAAGATGATGAATAGTAGAGACAGAGAAATCATTTTAAACCAAATGAAAGAAAGACAGAAAGAAAATAGAAAGATGAGAAGTACAATAATACTCAAGTAATATTTGAAGCTAAAATTAGTGTGACTTGATAAATGACAGATATGAAAGTGGATTTAAAAAGTGAAAAGTATTGCTTTCTTTTTAGCTTGGGTGACTGGTAAACAGAAGAGAAGTAGATGAGAAAAATAGATCTAGAAAAATGATGGAGAAATAATGTGTCCAGCTTTGGACAGTAGAAACAGGTGCAGTCCTGGGGTGGTCAAGTGAAAATGTCCTTGGGAGGTGGAGTCAATGGTCTCAAGCTGAGAAGCAAGCTCAAGGCTTACTTGGAGATAGAGTTGTGGAATCTGTGTTGCCTCATCCATAACTCACATCCCATTCACATTCTCATTTTCCTGCCTATGTACTACTCAGTCTTTTATGACTAATTAACAGGGGGAGAACTGAGCAATCACTTCTGCTCCCTCCTCCTCATTTTTACACAAGTCTAAATAAAGCTGTCATGATTGGGAGGCTGTGCAAATTCTCTGGTCCAACCCTGAGATAAAATGCATGACACTCATAATTCATTTAATTTCTCTTTAAAATTTTCTTCTTCAAAAACAAGGTATTCCCCCAAGTGACCTTATAGAGGAGCAAACCTGAAATCTATATGACATTAATATATGTATTTTCATGGCAAATGTCAATTGATTTGGTCTTTTATCTTTCCTTAATGAAGAAAGATACAGAACTCCATAAGAGAATAAGACAAAAATAATTGACATCTGGATTTGGAATGTGCCCTATAATCATAGTTCTACATTTACAACTATGGTGATTAATTAATTTATTTATGCATTTACTTTTATGAGTATGTTTTTTGAAAACATTAAAATGTGCTACTTTTCCTAAGCATACAACATTGGCCAGGAGGCACTAATAACACACTAAATGAGAGAGAAACTAAGTTAACACTTGCCAATCAACTAATATAAATAACTCATTTATCCATAAATGATCTACAAGGGAAATGGAGAGTTGAGTGAGGCATATAGTTAAGGCTATATGAGTCAAACATTGTATCATTAGATCCTCCAAGGAAACACCTTATATTAAGCATCCAGTTTCACCTAGTATATATAATGGATGATTCACAATACATTCTGAGGTTGCTCTGAAAATGCAGTCTCTTTGCATACTTTTGACATGACAGCCCTTAGGATCTTTATTGGCTCTCTCAAATGGCTGAATCATAGAATATGGGATCTTTGTTCTTACACTTTACCAACCATGGCATCTGTATTGAGATTATCACTTGGTAACAAGATAAATACTCTGTCAGAAATGTTATGCTTCCTAACAATGCTGCTTCTTGTGCAAACTTCTCCTGCTCGTGGCTGGCCTAAGGCTATACCTTAAAATAGACAAGGTTTGCTTTCTGTTCCCCTGGATTTTGGGACCTCCCCTCTCTGTCTCCTGAGGTCACATGCATTCAAAGCCTTCTCATTCTTTGGCTTATCCTCTTCACACACCCAGAAACTCCTCTGACCACCTCTCCCCAACCAAAACCTTCTCTACAGGAATTCAGATACAAGCCACATTTCTCCCAGGGCTGTTAACATGTTAGCTTTTATTGCTAATAATAAAATAAAACATTTGTAGTATGATAAAGACATTTTAAGAAGTATGTAGTGGAGCATGTTTTAACTAAGGGATCCCCAAATTCACACCATAGAAGTGACTGCCTTTACCTACTCCTACTCAGGACAAGAGGTACTTAAACTTGTAGAATAAACCATCAATCTTAATACTAAGGCTAAATAGTATTTGTTATAAATTAATAGGGTTTCAGTATATCTAAGTGAAAATCATCAATACGGTAAAGTTATTGTATGGAATTTTATGTATTTCCTTTCTGAATAACAATAGTATCATGGTTTGGATAACGTTAATGGTTTTACTGCTATTGTAGAGTTGATACATTTTTGTAACTTATATACACTACATCTATCAGCAAATCCTGTAAAATAGGTAATTACGGAAGTCCCAGTGGTTGCTCATTCAAAATTGTGAGACCCAAACTGCATGGAAACATGCTGAACATTATCTGCACCAAGTGGCTCCTTTAACTACTGGAGACCATTATGATGGAGAACCTTATGGTCCAGTAAGTGTCATAGGCACTGAACAGCCACATGATCTACTCGATATCCACTGGATAAGTGTTTCAAACAAGAAGCACAGTGTATGCAAGTCCTCAAATTAAAATATTAGCACTTTATTCATAAAGCTATTTTTATTAGGATATTATTTCTCCTTTATACATGATTCATTGTAGTGTTGATGGGTAGGAAAACACTCAAAGCAGACACTTGGATAATATATTTTTATTTTTAAAAGTAGTTCATATCTATTAGGGAACATAAATGGCAATTTCTTTAAATTATAAAAAATGACAAATATCTATAAAATCACCCAGAAGGAAGCACTCTTAAAATTTTGACACATTTCTCTCAAGTCATATTTCTGCACATATTTTATACACATAGTTGAGGTCATACTGTATACATAATTTTATATTCTTTCTTTTTATTCTTTTAATTATCTCACATACATTTTCTTTAAAAGTAAGAAGAGTCTTTCTGTTTCATTGTTCTCAGCTTCCATTGGAGTGATCTACATTGCAATGTAGAGTATGCTATTGTAGGCTACTTGAGGGAATTTAATTGTATTTTTTTACAGTGATAAGGAACACTTTGTGGTGACTCTGCTTTTTCTTCTAGTGACTTAGTAGGTAGGTCATTGTGGCTTCTGAAAAATTCTTTGCGTACTTCCCTTTCTGGATCTCCACATTTTTCTTTTATAAAAACACTTTTTATAAGTCCCTTCCCTTCTGCAGAGTTTATAGTAGGCTACCTTTAGATTAGGTAGCACTCTGTTATCAGAGGCTCCTCTACAAGATCCATCTCCTTTCTTCCTCTACTTCTTCTATAACACCAACTCAGCTCCAGACAGATCTCAGGAAACTATTCCTTGATTTTTGTTTCCTATTTCTGTGATTTTTAGGGCCATCTCCTTTCTATCTCTCATTTTTTAAAAATGTATCTGAATCCCAGCACTCAGGAGGCTGAGAAAGGAGGATTGTCATGAATTTGTGATCAGCCTGGGCTACATAGTGAGTTTAAGGACAGCCTAAACTACATAAGAAGACCTTTCTCAAGAAAACAACATAAAATAATTTATCTTGACCCTTTCCTCAAGGCCCTAACAAACATTGGCAATCCTTTCCTTTACCCCCTAGGATAACTTTGCACTAGCCAATTTGGCTGTTAATTTCATATTATGTTTTGCAAATTTCTCTAGTCTTTTAACATGTGAAAGTCTTGTCTTACTTGTGAAATTGTTCTGCTCTAAGTAAGAAGGCAACTCCCAAACCTGACCACCAACAGCCACTCCCTAAGGCTGGCTAATACTATGGGGTGCTTACTAGAGGAAGAACAAAGCTCCAAATGTTGGACAAACATTGTTTCATTGGTTCTTCGCAAAAGCCTATGTTATTTAGGAATGCTTTTGGCTCCAAATGACAGAGGAATCAAAGTGTCTAATGATGCTTAAATAATATTTATTATCTCACATAACAAAGAGAAGTACAAATACTGGAAGTAAGTAGTTTCTGACATTTGGTTAGAAAATTTCTGATGTAAGAGCTCTGATATGGCATCTTTGAAAATTTCTTAACCTCCTTCTATGGTTGTCTCAGGGGTATAGCATCTTCTGATATCACACTCTCACATTTCCATGCTCAATGTTATCAGGAAGGAAAATATTTCTCTGGACATTTCCCCATCCCCAAATTCTCCTGAACACATTGATGAGAAATAGGTTTATAAGTCCATACCCTGAGATTATGCATATCCAGATATTTTATCTGGATAATACTTCAACAAAGTCAGAAAGATGCAGAAAGAGATTGCTTTTGTATAGAAAATCTATAGCACAAACTGTATAATGTTATTAGAAAAAATTAAAACTTAGAAAAATTGAGAAATATGTGTAAGATTATATGGCTAGTAAGTGGCAAAAAGAGGATTTAAACCAGGTCTTTCTAAGTCTCTCAGAATCCCCATTCTTAATTACCTCACTAGATGGCCTCTCTATAGGGGTTTAACATCTCACTCATTTCACCATAAAGTGTTTAGAAGCAATCTACTCTATGTTTATCATTGTTCTTTCTGCTGAAGGAGAACCAAGTGTATTACCTAGAGACAGATGCATGACTCATGAAAAAGCTGAAATGCACCAGATTATTATATTGTAGATTCTGTGCTAATATCTGCATTTCTACATAAAAGGAGCTCAGCAGAAGTTTTAAAACTCAGAGAGGACTACATGGAAGCCATGGGATGCAAACAAAACCTCACAAATTTGGATCAGTGTGGAGGAGGATGACATTTCCCTTGAGAAGAATGACTTGAGGGAAAGCAATAAGGTAGGAAACAGCACAATCTGAAAAGCGAGTGAAGCAAAGGGTGGCTGAAGTTCTAGGCACATTCAGGAATGGCAGCAAACTACTGAGCTGCCAGTGCATGGTCAAAGAACAGTCGAACAGATTGATCACATAGTCATTATCAGAGAGGTTCTGCAGGAGCCTAAGTTGAAAATGGGAAAGTGGTCACTAAGAAATCACATTTATTGCTCTCTCTTTGGATGACAGGTTTGAGTATCAAGGAGTGATAAAACTTGGAAAAGGGTCAGTTGTAGCCTAAAATTTCCTTTGGTCTAAAAGGTCAATTTAAGGAGTTAAAAGATAATTGATGGGAGTGCACTTGCAACTCTTTACTTTTGTGATCTGAGATCTTGGAACTAAAAGTCAAATAATTTCGGCTTCAACTTACAGGAAAATTCTGAAGAACATGCCCATCTCACCGTTCCTGTAATAATAAGAAAGGCTTAGAGTTGTATTCCCAGTCCTTTATGACTAGCAACTCACACTAGCCAGGTAATAGCAAAGTCTGGTGCTGTGATCTATGGCCAACCTAGAATAGGCATGCTGGACTCAAACCCAGATTTGGCCTCATAGATACCTAGATTGTTTATCCAGCTCTTCATACACAGATATGAAGTGCACTGCACCAGCTGAGGAGTACGGTGCCTTTACTGTTTCCATCCTTCTCCACTGGGAATTCACTCTACATAAACACAAGGTCAAGAGAAGAAAAGTTACCTTTGTAATGTGCTGTAAACTCTAACAAAATGAGTATTTTAGATTCATTATTATCATTTTTATCTATTTTTGTTTACAGAATTCTTTTTGTTGTGTTTAAAAATCTGGTGATTTTCTCAAGTTTGCAAGGTCACAATTTCCAATTAATATTTTCCAGAATTGTAAATCAACCTAAACAGTGGATCACCACTGTTTAAAATAGGATAACATCTATGGTCTAACTAAGAGCAAATGAAAAGTTCTTTGGGTGTGACTTATGACAGGAAATTAGGGTAAAACTCAGAATTATTTAAAATATTAGACCTGGAGAAAATGTAAGGATTTAAAATAGAGAATTTCTAAGAAAGAAAAATTGTGTTTTTTCTTTTGCTTCCCATGTCCGTAGGTCACTTGGGTCTCTCTAGGCTCAAAAGAGGAAGGGTCACCTTTCCTCTTTTTATCTCCGAAAGTCCGTAGACCATAGCTGTCCAAAAGTGAAGGAGTGGTGTGGAATTTGTAATCATCATTCACCAGAAGTTGAGGGGAGAAAGATTTGAGGGTTTTGGTAGAGGGTAGATTTTAGCTATTTTAAAAATCACATGTAGATATTGCTAAATTCTTAAATTTCTGATGAAGTCATCTTCTCAACAAGCTCTTTGAACTATGCCCTTACAATCAAGTACTTATAATCTAATGACATACTTCTGAGTAAAATGTTGAATCACACAAGTATACAAATCAAAGAGAAAAAAAAAAAGAAGCTGTGTGGGAGGGGCAGAGCCTTATAAAACCAGTCATTACCACGTCTAAACCATGACAACTCTCCAAGGAGCATTTCCAGCTGGACAGCAGCTAAGAGAACAAGGTATTTCTGCAATTTCCACAGCCATCTCAATGAGATGCATGGTTTCACTTTTTTTCTCTTCCTTCAGATTAAAAATTCAAATGTGGGATGTTTGTAGATGGTAGTGGTGTTATCTTGATTGGTTGTTTATTTAACTGAAAAATTTTTAGTTAAGAATTTGAATTAAATTTAAAATAAGGTTTAATTTTGAATCTTAGAGCCAATAAATACCTATTTAGTATTAGCCAAAGCAAAATGTACAATCAAAGTGTGATGGCAATGTTATTGAACAGATTGGAAAGTATATATTCTATACTAGTTATTGTTTTGAAAATGCATTTGCTGGAAATGTCTACATAAATTAAAACAATTTTACTTAAGTCACCAAAAGTAATTTTTATATTATATATAAATAAAAGGAAAAGGGAACTCCATTTTTTTCTAAGATTGACAGTCAGAAACTAAAGGAATTAAGTAGCAATTTGGGCTGGATCAATCCAATATCAGAATATTCTTATTGAAGTTAATTGAATAATGGGTCAATTACATGAAAGAGAAAAATCAGCCAAATTTGTTGATGGATTGAATACACAGATATTTAATATTCCATGAACAGATACATATTTCTTTTGAAAGTTGTCAACTAAAAGAAATTGCTTCCAACTTGTTGGGGAGACAGGTGATATTTTTTGAAGGGATGCTTCCTTACAACTAGTTTTTGTCTTAGTTCTCATTGACTTTTATGGTCAATTTCAAGTTTTTTGCATTATGTAGTAACACAAAAAGTTGTTTTATATGCTAAGAAAGCATCCAGTCTCACTCCCAGAGCTGATGAAAAGAGGGCTGTGGCCACATTCTCTGGGCCCTACCTAATTCCTCACCACTGAACAACTTGCACAGCAGGACCCAGTACATGCATTAGGGAGCCCAGCCTTGCATCTGATTTCTATCTGTGCCTCCCAATGATAATATTAAATGATAGTATTACTTGGAGCATAATATTCGGAAGTTAATGAAATTGTATGACTTACTATATTATTAAGAACTTCACAATCGATGTATGTATTCTGGCAAGCTATGGTATAGATTTCACTCCATGACTTCAGTTTTGCATTGTCTTGGCAGATTCCCATCCATACATAAGGCATGGATATACTATGGGAGTCAGGAAACATTATGAATATGCTGCCCTGGATTTAATTTAATTTATTTTCTTGCTAATGGAAATCAAATTCAGGGCCTTGAACTTGCAGGGCAGGTACTGCACCACTAAGCTACATCCCTGGTCCTAATTTCTAAAAGCCTCATCTGAAAAGTTTGTAAAAAAGCACTAGACTTGGCACCAGAAGACTGGGATCCAACCTAGGCTCTGAAGTGAAGTAGCTGTACAACGTACACCTTCACATTTTCATTAGTGTAGTAGAAATTCCTAAACTTTACCAGCAAGTAATTATGCAAATTAAACAAAAAAGTAGCTGAAGTCATTAGGTAGCTAAATATTGCAGAGAAATATTTTTATGTTAAATGAAGTTAATTGCATCCCATTTTAAAAATGGGATTCAGATGATTTTTTAAAAGAAATAAATGTCTTTGGGACAAATTCTGTTCTTACTGACTTTTTGTTCTTTATCAAGTTACATTAAATCTTAATTTAGGATTAACAGCCTTTCCTGATGGTTTCCTTGACACTTAAATTTTGTTAAGGTCAGAAAGACTTGCTTGCTATATAGATTGTTACAAAGAACTGTGAATAGCAGAAGTCAAGATTTATTTTTCTGACTGATCTCTTATTTTCATTTTCATATGACAATAGAGAAATGTTTTATTTATATTTTCAATACTCAGCCTGTTTCCAAACATGATTGGATAATTTATTTAGAAAACCTACACAACAAGTCAATTACTGATAAAAAATTAAAATTTAATAAAATGAAAAAGAAACAAATTTTTGAGCCACCATGCGATGAAGAGAAAAAATAGTGTTTTTAAAATTTAGTCAGCTTTCTACAAGCATTGCAGTTTGACTATGTTCCTCTTTTTATTTCTTCTTTCTAGTGTTTCTCAAGTTATAGTTTTCTTAAACTCTGACAAATCATAGGCAGGGTATACATCAGCAAGTGACAAAGTGAGGGACATAAGAAAGAATGGCCTCCCTGAAGCATAACTGGGCTGGAATCCCTCCACCATTGCATAGCAGCTGTGTGACCTTATGCAAGTTGCTTAACCTCTCAGAGAATCAGGATATAATCTATAGAATGAAGGTAGTGATATCTATCTCACATGGGTACTATACAGATTAAATGAGAGAATAGAGAAGAGAGAATTTTGGGAACAAGGATTAATTACTGTTTTCATCTTGATAAAATACAATTGGATCATACTTCAAAGGAGAAATTTTGATACAAATTCTAATCACTGTTTTGAAAAAAAGAGTTAATCAATGAAGGGTTCACACAAGACACTGTGTATAAGATAGACAAAAGACAATTAGTTTTTTGACAAAAAGCCCTGCTAGATAAGTTGCATGACTCCTCCTAGAGGATCCTCAGCCCTTCCTCAGTTCTGAGAAACAATTTTCACAGAAGGCCCAGAGAGGTGATGAGTGTCAGCATTGTTTGGTATGTTTATGTATATTGGTAATTGTAGGGTATGCTTTAAACTATGATGAAAGGAAAACATACAACTAGAAAGGAGATTGTCTAGTACCAACACAAACACACACACACACACACACACACACACATGCACAAATGCTTGGGTATGTTCAAGCATTGTTACACATAGAGCTTTAAGTCATGGGTGTTGTGTATGTCATTTATTTTCAGATGGGTGATAGGTTGAGTGGATGTGTGTGCTTCATATTCTGTCCCTGGGATTTTCTTTGCATTTCTGCCTGACAATGACTTCCTTACATAATTGTGGGGTGGAGGGTGACAGAAGAAGGAGACTGTTCCAGTACCTCTACTAATGATCTCCCCAGAATCGGGAGCCCTTTTGTAGCAAGGCTACAGTATTTGTGGTGTATGTAGGAAAGGATCGAGGAGGTGCTGGGTGAAAGTACTAACACTCAAAGTTACCTTAAACTAAGCACTTCTGGAAGGAGAGAACTTGAAAGAAAATGGGTCAACTCAGTGGAGCCAACTGAAAAATGTGTGCACCTGGCACACATTTGAATATACGCGTGTCTCCCTGGGGGTCTATGTCTGTGTGTGTGTGTGTGTGTGTGTGTGGTGTGGATGTGTGCAGGGTCCATGTGGGTACAGCAAAGATGGAGAACCTGACCCTGGAGGCCACATACCTGGCTTCAAATCCTACTCCTAGTCTTTATAGCTGAGTGACAATGGTCATGTAACCTCTGTGTGGAACCATTTCTTTCTTTGTAAACAGAAATAACAACATTTTAGCCAGGATTAAATGGTTAGTACAGGTAGTGTTTACAAGATCATTTGTCAGACAATAAGGACTCAATGAATGTATTGGTGTTATTCTCGGTATTCTATGGAGTGACATAAAATGTTACTACTGTTCTTAAAACTAATAGTTCAATATGTCTCAGGATTTACAACATAATTTACAAAGTCTGGTAAAAATGAAAATGCAGGGATTCTTGTTTAAAATGAAGTATTTGAAGATGGTGACAGTGAAGAGAAAGTATATAGTCAAGCATGAGGTCCTAGTGGATGCATAGTTCGCGTGACCATGAAGCTCTCTCTGCCTCCCTTATGTTATCTTGTGAATAGGATGCAGGGTACAGCTAGACTACTCACTGGCTTCACCCCAATTGCTGCACCACCCTTTAGAGCTGTTTTCCCTCCATTTTTCTTCCAGATTGAAATAATGGAAGACCTTTGTGTGGCAAACACTATCTTTGCACTCAATTTCTTCAAGCATCTGGCAAAAACAAGCCCCACCCAGAATCTCTTCTTCTCTCCATGGAGCATCTCATCCACCATGGCTCTTGTCTATCTTGGTTCCAGGGGCGACACTGAAGACCAGATGGCCAAGGTACGTTTGCATCGAAGCTCCACATTAGGATCGAGTGATTCCTGAGCCAAAGTGCCCTTGTTTTATGCCCAGGGCATCTTGATTCTAAAGAGGCACTGATCATGGCATCCTAATAAATCACTAGTCCTTACAACTGAATCCTTAGATATTAAATTATAAAACAACCAAACCAGAAGTTTCTTTAAATGTAGATACCAAAAGACATATCAGATTCTATTACCTTGCAAGGCTGAAAATAGTTAAGTGTGGCATCGTTATTTTAATAATATAATGCTCATACTTTTCTTTTTCAATTTTTATTACAAAGTGCTTACTGTACATAATGTTTCCATTCTTCACAGATAGTGGTACATGTACACAATACATATGAATTCTTTTTACTTCCCCTTCCACTTCCCTCACTCCTCTCTTATCTCTTAGTTCTCTTCCTATTTGCAAAATATCTATCTCTCTGTTTCCTATCATATATCTTTTATTTGGGTCTTTAATTTTTATAAGTTATTTATACTTTGGGTTTCTCACAGAAGAGAAACCATATGACATTTAAGTTTATGTGTCTGATTTATTTCACTTAATATGACAGTCTGAAGAGGCATCCATTTTCCTACAAATGACTCAAATTTTCTTTATTCCTTCATCTGTTGATGGACATATAGGTCACTTCCAAGATTGAGCTGTTTTAAGTTATGCTGCTATAAATATACATATGTATGCATCATTGTAACGTGATGTCTTTAACTCTTTTGGGAAGGTACCTAGCAGGGGAATAGCTGAGTTAAGTAGACTTTCTAGTTATAGTTTCTGAAGGAATTTCCATACTGATTTTCGGAGTGGTTGTACTAGTTTACTTTCCCACCAACAATGTAGAAATATTCTTTTTGCCCCACAGCCTCACTAGCATTTGTCATTATTTGATGCTTGATGATGGACATTCTTTCAGTAAATGGAATCTCAGTGTTGTTTTAATTTGCATTTCTCTAATGGTCTGAGATGCTGAACATTTTTTTCATGTATTTATTAGTCATTTCTACTGAAAAGCGTCTATTCATTTTAGTTGTCCATTGAGTGTTTTAATTTTGGTTTTCTAATCTTTTTTAGTTCATTATGTATCCTATATATTAATTGTCTTATCAAAGTGAATGTTTTGTGTATATTTTATGGCACTTTGTTTTAAAATAAATGTCATTTTATAGATGAAAACCTTGGCAGCCCCTATCCCAAGGCTGCCCATGGTTTCCTAGCTTAGACTCTTTCTCAGTGCTCTGCCACTGTGGTTGGTGTGTTTGTTCCCCACTCCTATAAGTCATTCCTCTCACTGATTTAAGAGAATGTCACAGAAAGAAAAAAAATGGATCCTGACTGTGGTCACACATTCACAGGGAAGCACAGGTTAGTGTGGCACTGGAGAGCCCCTCCCTCTTATCCAGGCTATGAGGCCATGTCCACACAATGGGGCCTGACGTCATATATGGCCAGTCTTCAAAATCAAGGCAGACAAGAAGTGAGGCAGCACTGTCAGTGACTTTTGGGTAAAGGCTTCTGACTCATTTGGTGAATTGACATCAAGTCAGGCAGAACTGTGTCTGGGCTTTGATGTGCTGAGCCACTTCTACAGCTCAGGTAAACATTTTTAGAGGGCTCGTTCAGTAAACATAAAATTCTCAATAGCTTGTTATTTTTTAGGTCAGTGACCATGACATGGTCAGTATATAGTTAGGATTCCTTGTCACTCACAGCTATACAAATATTAAATGGATTACTCTAAGTACAAGCACGCTTTGTGCTTTGAGTCACACCAAAATGCCAGGGGCTGGTTTCTGGTTTCCCATGAGAATTGTACCTGAGTGTAAATACACCCTTCTGAGGAACATGATGACCCATTTATGGTGGCCCTCCCTTGAATTATGAGATTTAACAGTGAGAACATTGGCCAATCTCACTGCAGGAGGACAAGAGAGAGAAAGATCACTCTCTGTGCTCATGGCAGTTTAAGCATCAAGGCTTACAACAAAACTCAATTGCTTAACTCTGATGTCAGGAGCCCTCTGAAACACTCCTCCTTTATTTTCTTTCCTTGAAAGTATAGATAGTAAATTGCATTGAGAACCTTAGAAAACATCATGTTTTTAAGTGTAAAAGGATCTGAAGCAATGTATTTTGAGGATGAGTGCTAAATGAGGGCTCTGGCTTGTAAAAGAGAAAGAAAAATTTCACTTTAATATGAAAGGAAAAATATTTTTTACTCTGGACACAACACGGCCTTTCAATATGTAGAAAGTGCTCTCAGAACTTGGAGCTGTGCTAAGATTTTATATAATCTCCTTATAATCCTGTGGCATCTGTAGGTTTTAAAATTCAAATACTAATTTGATTGCTTTCTAAATAAGAAAAAAGAAGTTCCTTGGTGTGGAGGTAGAAGCATGGATTTTGAGGGCAGATCTGTCTTTCTTTAATTCATGTCTGCCATTTACTAAGCATGTGAAATCCGCTGAGTCTCAGTTTTCTCATCTATAAAGTGGGAATAAAAACACATAACTTGCAAAAACCATTGTGACAATTAGAGTTAATGTGCAAAGTATTTAGTGTTAATTGTAATAATAGCTAATAATTTTTGGTGTCATTTCTAGGGGCCTTTCTAAGAACTTCTTAGGAGTTTACTCATTTAATATAAAACCCTATGAGGTAATTGTTATGATTATCATACTCATTTTACATATGAGAAAATTAGAACAGAGGCCACCAAGTAGGGAATCAGTGTACCTGGAAGAGGTAGTATAGCTGTAATGAAAGAAAGAAACAGAAGGTATAACTGGAGAGCACAGGTTATAGGAGCTCAATGTCACAGCCAAGAATATTTTTGCCAGCTCTTAAGTTTAGAGTGAGGTCATGGACATGTTTGGGCCAAGCTACCTAGTTGGACCTCAGGATGGGCCAGGGTCACCTCACCTTCCCATTTTTTCAAGGACATTTCCCTGTATGGCATTTGTAGTGATTCAAGAAGGTACTGCCAGCCAGGGGAACCTTTAATTCAGGGTGAATTGCCTTGGAAGGAAGGTAATCAGAGAAACTGTGATAGGTAATATTCTTCCCTTATGTGGGACAGAGTGGGATCACATCTTTTCAGAGAGGATGGCAGAATCTATTACAGAACACCTTGAGGGACAGACAGGAGCCCCTCAAGTGCTAGCACTTCTCCCTCCAGCTCAGAAATTCACCAGGTGGTTAGACCTGCCACTTCTTCAGTGGCAAAACCCCAATCATCAGCCCGTTTACAAACTTGGGTCTCTCCCACCATGGGTCCCATGAGTAAGTATCTCAGGACCAGTGGATCCTGTGGATGTTGGAGGTGGGGTCCCTTCAGATGCTGAAACTGGCAACTGAGCTGGGCAGGCAACATTGTTGTGGGGAGGGGAACTGAGGGAGGTTCATAGATGCCAGTTTTCACCTGCCATTCTCACTGTGAGATCTAAAACTGCCCACACACAATGTGAAGAAATTCACATTGTCATCAGATCCCTGTGATTTGCCCCCTGCCCCATGGACCTTAATTTCTCTCTGTATGTAAGTATGGTAGGCATAAATATTTTCACTAATCCCTGTTCATACTGAGTGACCCATTTTTATGCTTAAGCTTACTTTGGCTTGCAATTTTTGGGGTTTTTTGTTTGTTTGTTTTTGTATGGGGATCAAACTCAGGACTTTGCACTTGCAAGGCAGGCTATATATATATATATATATATATATATATATA